AGCCACTAAAATATAAAACACTGATCTTTCACATTTACTGGTACCATTTATTGCCAAAAACATACCTTTGCTGGTTCTGTAGCACATTTATGGTACAGTTCCTTAATGCTTGTATAGCATTTTGCAATAATACTGTTGGATTTTCATTACAAATTTGAGTGAATATTATTTGACCTATAACAGGATGCTGAGACTGAACTGCATTTATTAAATTATTGACCTTTATGTCTAATGGTGATAAACTAGCCGTATTTATTTCTTCACTAGGCACATTATCTTTAAACCTCCTGGAATTTGTTGGTCTATCATATGGAGTATTCTGCCGTGAGTAAAAACCTCTGCCTCGCCCTCTAAATTGTCTACGATCTCCTCCAGGAGTTGTATATCCTCTTTGATTTCGATCATAGCCCCTTTCCTCTCTATTGCATGGCTCACATCCTCTGCGTCCTCTAACCCATTGTTCGCGATGTTGGTTACTCATACTCCCTTCTTGTCCCCAATTATTTTGTCTGAATTTAGATTCATACTGATTACTATTCCAACTTTCTAATCGAGTGCTCTGACCCTGTGAATGCTCTTGATTCCTAGAGTAATAGTTTCGATTGCTCATTATACAAAGGGGTTTAGACTACCATTTATCAAATGAATAACTTTTTCCCAACTGTGAGTGGTCTGTGAGCAACAAAAACCCCTCAAGAGAACGACACACTTCTTCACAGAGTGAATGATAAACAAAAGCATAACATAACCTAACACCTAACACCAAGGTACGAACGTCAAATCGAATTGTCACTGTCATATAAGCCTGTCAGTTGTGACAGTTTCCAAAGTGCCCTTTCAAAAAGGCGACAGGAGCGGATCCTCCTTAAAATTGTCTGGTTTCTGGGTTACCAGACCTGACAGACTTACAAACTGACACTGTGACTCAAGAGCTAAGGTCCCACGGACCGCTCTGACAACCAACGATGACTTGAGGAGCGGATCCAGGGTGTACTGACACAAATAGGAATTATTATCATGCGAGCGCTAATTACCAATTTGTCTAACACAAATGGTTAAAATGAGTAATTTTGATCATAATAAACGAAGAAAATAAATACTTAGGAGTTTTCATTATTCTCATTATACATGTTGGTATCTACAATAACCTTTTCATACTCTTCCTGTATATGAAGCAAAATGATTTTGAATGTACTTGTAACGTGATTATGTTGTACAAAGAATAAAACTAGAGATTTGTGATTCTGATTAAAAAATGTCATCATCAGCTGAAAACTTAATGTTAAACCGTGATTCACAGAGACGCACATTTAATACTCGCCCAATAAAAGCTAAACATGAATCGATCTTGTTCATGATTCTGTTGCTCAACGACATAACGAAATAACGATATCAGCTGTTAGCTGACTTCGTGTTTCTGTACTCGTATATTTATCTACTATCTGGCTTTACTGACTTCATATATTCTAATTTGGCTCAAACAAAAATAGTTTCAACATGGATTTGATTTGAACGTATTTTGACAGCTAAAATAATTGAATAGCACTATAAATACTGCATGGTTTGACCAACGAATTCGCACTAGGTGGAACGAGCCAGTCAATTCATTATTTGTCTCCTTATTCTCAAAGCCTGTAGTGAGGATCAGAGTGCACTTGACATACATCAATTTTTCAACAGTTGTCATTAAATTCGTATAATGTTATCTTTTAACAAGCCTAATAAAGGTAGATGTTTCTGCCGGTAAGTGTTAGTATTATATTGATACAACGCTTTCACTTTGGTAGACATTGGTAAACAAATGAGTCAAAAGTATGCACTAAAACTACACAATTTTGGCGATAAACAACGCAATGTAAATTTACAAGGTGTCCCAGAAATAACACGCCAGAGTGACACGAGAGATAGATTGGCTTCAGATCAGCCAGATAAAATCAACATGACCCTTGTAAAAGTTTTCTAGTTTTCGAGATATTGCCACTCTTTAGTTTTTCTAAAAAATCACTACTTTTTGCTCATTTTTTGCCTGTTATGATTTTTTTCCTGAGCTACCATTAATAGTCGGTTAAGATGATCAAGAATTCATTTCATTGAAAACTAGCACGGATGCCAAAAAATTATATTTTATTTCAATGCCTTTTCTTCTATTAGTTTGACTAATTACTGTGAAAAGAAAGTTTACCAGACCGAATCGGCAAATGATCTTGAAAATTAGAATGTTTATTGCTCTTTTACAAATAGTATAACATTTGTAGGTTCTATCTACTAAAAATCGAATAATTCCAAGTTTTGTCTTTGAAGTGTAATACTTGCGAAATACTATAGATAAAAATAATAGTAATCATTTATTTCAGGCAATATTTCCATTAAAAGATGTTAATTTAATTTTTCATTCAGTTAATTTGAGATGTTCATAATTACTACTATTCTGTGATTTGAACGTTGCCAAAATCAATGGAAATACAAAGATTCATCATTTTGACGCCTGCATACAACCGTGAATAAAAAAGGATAATGGGTAGCTGTTTTAGACATTTGCTAGAATGAATAGCGATTACAGCAGCTAAAAAGTTGTGATGTAGACACAAAAGACAACTACACTTGTTATTTTTTATTTTTAGTATTTCGCAAGTATTACGACTTACGACTTCAATGACAGTACTTGGAATTATTCAGTTTTAGTAAAAAGAACCTACACATGTTGTACTATTTTTGAAAGAGCATTACGTAGCTACTTTTAAGGTAATTTTGCTGATTCAGTCTGGTATATTTTTTTCACAGTAATAGTCAAACTTCAGTAAAGGTTTTCGCATTAAAACCAAATGTAAAAAGTTAGTTTTTCAATGTAATGAATCCTCGGTTGTCTCAACCAATTATTAATGGTAGCCCAGGAAAAAATCATATGCTTAGAAGTTCTTTAGAGCCGTAACAGGCAAAAAGCAAAAAATAGATATTTGACGAAAAAACTTAAAAGTAGCAATATCTCGAAAACTACAAAACTTTTCCTAAGGTCATGTTGATTTATCTGATTGATCTGAAGCCAATCTACCACCCGTGTCACTCTGGTTATTTCTGGGATACCCTGTATGTAGGCTTGGCTTCTTAAAATCTAATCGAGGGTCGATGCTTTGAACAGAGAGTAATTATCTAAACTCTAGAATCGTTTGCATGATTTAATGATATGTATATGGGTCATATGAATCCTAGCTACGCCACCGGTGTACTAAGACCTATTTGAAGCAACATTTAGTCTTCTGTTAAAGTGAATCTGTATAATCAGGAATACACATTGACCACAGCCAACTGTGATTTGACTGTCATAATATGATGCTGTATCAGGCTGTGCAAAATTCCTAGTACAGAGATTTCACCCAATATGCTAACTCGAATCGAGCCTCTTCGGGCTCATCGATAGGATTGCAATAATGATAAATTCGCATATCAGGATCAATAATCAGTTAGAACTGAATCTGTAGCAGCTATATCCGTTGTTGCAACTGTTAAGTAGATAATAGAGCTAAATACAATATGTATGCTCGGTCATTTTAAACAGCTGCTGTGCCTCCCTCCATATGTGGCATTCCGATTAGCTACCTGAACTGCATCAAAAGATAATTGCGGTGCCACAATCTTATATCGTAACAACCGTCTTTACTTTCACACTAATTTATTTCCACACTTGCAACTAATTTATTACATTTTTTACCAGGTGACTGGACTATCTCATTTCGCGCTGCTGACTATGTGCGTGTATTTTGAATCAATGAATTCCAGAAGCTTTCCAGGCAGTACTAGTTCCTTCATCGAAGCTTGCTAGATGGCGAACTCGATGTTTCTCGAAGCATGACGATCTTTCGCCACGTGTTTAATTCTGGTTGGTAAGCACCTTAAGAGTGTCTAATGATGATAAGAGCTCCAGTTACGTTACAATATGTAACTACATCTGCCAATATCATTGCATACAGCATTTGCCTGCCACATAGACTACAGATCGACTAACCTGCAGGACAGAGATAACAAACGGAATGTTTTGTGTAACCAAAGCATCCCACAAACCGGCGCGAAATAATCGCGGCGAAGTATTCGCAACGAAATTCAGAGCGAAATTCGCATCTGTTTCGCCTGTTTATTCATACCAAAGCGTCTTATTCGCTCCGCGAACGTGAAGGTTTCGACAGGTTGCGTACATTTTATTTTTGCCTTTTGCAATGAGCTCGTCTTCAGAAGAAGAGGAGGCACTTCTATTTCTTGCTTTAGAAGAGGAACAAAATGCACGGTAAGTTATGTTTATTTAACGCCATTTGATAGTTGGGTATGTATTAAGTTTAACGAAGTACATAAAACAAATATTTCAATTTGTTTAGGAAACGAAGGAAGTGGGTACATGATATTAACTTGGAACGAAATAAATTTGGGGAATACCATACCTGATGCCACAACTTCGGCTGGATGAACAGCGCTCTTACGTATATTTAGAATGACGCCAGAGTGTTTTCGATGAAATATTGAACTTGGTGAAAGATGAAATACGAAATCTGACACAAATTATCGTGAAAGCTATTTCGCCAGAAGAACGACTTGCTATACACTCAGGTAAAAAAATTATATGTATTAAAATTAGTAGGCTATCGAATACGAAAAACTTCAGGGATCGTGAAATAAATATTTTATTGTAATAATTGGGCTACATGTGCCACTAGGATTAAATGTTGCTAAATAATTCGAGGCAGAATTGGCCTCCTCTGTTGGTATATTATTGGAGTTAAACCCAGTGCCGCTTGGGAAGGACGACATACTACTATCATATGTTACATACTTGCAGAATTCAGGGTAGACGCTGAAGACATTTCTTCAATATGTTCAAATTCTTCGTGCGCTATTAATTCGGCTATTTTAGTTTTATTCAGGCTTGACGCTTTAAGGGAATTGTTTTCACAGTCTGTGCATGTGCCAAGAAAAGTGAATCAAGGGCCTCGTTCTCTTTTTTAGGTGTTTTACCTTCAAAATAATTAATGAGCTGTTGTACAGACGAAGATGGTGGTTCATAGCATTTTCTGCTCGTTTTATATTTTGGTGTAGTTGCAGTCTGCGGAAAGGTGTGCCCTGGAGTAGTCACTGCTGTAGTGTTCAATGAAGAAGGTGGTGCTGTCTGTGTTGCCTAGGCGTTCTGTGCATCTTCTGCATCTACATCAACATTTTCATCTTCACCATGACCGCGGTCTTCCAAATTTTCGGTTTCTACATTTCCAGCCCTTTCCCGATATATATTTGAGTTAAATTCGGCAGTCTCATAATGTATGACGTCAATATCTTTCACGTTAGACGACGTTTTGGCAAATGCCAAAAAAGGACGGAAAAATTCCATGTAGTCAGCCCACTGCCATTTTTTATGTTGCCTACTGCTTGGCCGGTCTTTGGTTTGGTAGATTTTATATATTTTGCAAATGTGTCTCTGATATTCTTCCACCTTTTTTTTACTTCATCACCTAAAAACGATTTTTTTTATAGATTCCTTGCCACTGGTGACACCTTCTATACCATTGGGCATAGCTTTCGAGTTGGCTTACAACAGTGAGTGCAATCGTAACCGAAGTCTGTGAAGCGATATGTAGACATATGGAGCATATATATTTACCAGAACCAACAGAGAATATATGGAAAAAATGTGCTGAAGAATTTGAAAATAGATGGGGATTTCCCAATTGCATTGTCAGCGTGGACGGTAAACATGTAACAATCAAGAGACCTAACACAGTGGCTCCAATTACTGGTGCTATTTACATAATATTCAATAGTACTTATGGCCATTGTTGGCCCGGACTATAAATTTATATGTGTTGATATTGGTGGTTTCGGAAAAATAGTGATGGGGGTATTTTCGAAACCTCAAACATGGGAAAACGATTTGAACAAAATTTAATGAGTGTCCCTGCACCTAGATTTCTCCCTGGGCAAAATGAAATCTGCTCGTATGTCTTAATTGGTGATGAAGCATTTGCTTTAAAATCATACCTTATGAGACCATTTCCTTATAAGCAGACTTTAACAGACGTCAGAAAAGAGAAATACAATGTAAGACGTTGTCGAGCTAGAAGGGTCGTGGAAAATGCGTTTGGTATTTTGTCTCAAAAATGGCGAATATTTTACAGGCCATTAGAAACTAAAGTAGATACTACTATTCTAATTGTACGTACGGCATGTGTATTACACAATTTTTTACGAAGTAAAAGTGGCGATGACAAATATTTTCAATTCTTAGATCCCCCAGAACCCGTGCTTGGAGCTTTTACTGATATAGCAAATGATCCTCGGCGGGCAGCAAGGCTAGCATTTTCTACTCGTGACAAATTCGTAAATTATTTGAATTCTGATATGCCTATGCCCAATATATAGAATGTTCGTTTTCACATTTGTGTAGACTGTAAATTATTTAACAAGTTAATAAAAAATATTAGGTACATACCATTTGTATTTAATTCTTTTCCTATTTCCATCCAAATCTTGTCTTTCTTTCTCACATTCCTGTATTCATCGTTCGACAAATCATACAAACAAGGATACTTTTCACTATTTCTATCAATAATTCCGTTTTTGCCATTGCGAATTTTTGAAGAACGGCGTCAAAAACGCGGTCAAAGGCGAACTGAAATACGCCGCGATAAAACGCTGGAACAATCGCATTCGCTTCGCACAAGTCTGAGCCTGTCCGTAAACCGCCGCGTTTTAATCTGATCGCGAATTCATCGCCGCGAAATTTTCGCAGCCAAAGCGAATATTTCGCGCCGGTTTGTGGGATGCTTTAACCTTATCTTGGTTTTTGGTGACTCACATAAGGCTGCCCTCACGCATACATATGCAATTTCTCTCTATGCGCGTACATTTGTTCGTGCAAGTTCTCAGACATACGTTTTTCAGATTTGACTCACCGTCTTGAGAATTATCTTGTACACAAATGAGTCATCCTTATTTATGATTGACGCTGTCCGTATGACAACTTGCTTGGCATACATAGGCGTGTAGTTTTTGTTGATATTCGATATAGAACGTAGCCAATGCCTTAACATACAACTATAATGTCAATAGTCTGTGGTTTTAGTGAAGTATTTTCGGTGATTGGATGAAAAGAACGGTCCTCTATCTCCCAGTTCATGTGTATGTGCAAGAGCAAGTAGCAGCATGCGTTTAGACATGGGTTGCGCCTCAATTTCCCTTAGAATAGAAATGTTTAGCTCCACAAGTGGTACAGTTGACATTTTGATGTAACTATCAAGAACCGTGAACAGAACTATACAACTTTGACCATCTTTGCAACGTAGATAACAGAGCGCTGAGATGGTTCAGGAGCACGATAGTTCGGTGTACGAATGCTGTTCTGTGTCGCTTACATCGTCGCTATGCACCATGAAAGCGCGAGACTACCTACGGGCCGCATGTCCCCAATTCAACAAAAAAACAAATCTTCATTATTTTTCTTTAATTTCCTTCGTACCAGAAAAATGAAAACTCATCCAAACAAATGCAGAAAAAATGCTGCTTTATGGACGTTTAAGACATATGCACATCTGATACAATACGGCCCTGTTCAACATGTAGACCTTTTGTTTCTGCAATTTCTTACCTTAAGTTCCGTGTAATCTGCTACGTGACGCGACATTTATTCGTGTTCTGTGTTTTGGCGTTGCGTCGTTTTGTACGCTGTTGCGGTCATTGAAAACTAGAAAAGCTGCAATTTGAATTTTGGAACGTTTCCAATCGGATTTCCAATAAGCTAGGTGTTTTACATTTGTCTCGTTTTTCTATTTGTGATTCTAAATATTACCCGTCGCTTTTAACCTATTTATTTATCAATATGGCCGATGATTCTTCAGTGAAACCGGGATTATTTACTAGCATATTCTTCGAAATTATAACTAGTCCCTTAAATCTCGCTCTCGTGCTTCTTATAGTATTTTTAGTGTATAAAATTATTAAAAGTCGCCAAAGTGATGAGCCAGTTAGAGAACAAATACCAGAGTTACCAAAAATGAAGAAGAGAGACTTCACAGTGGAGGAGTTGAGAAAGTATGATGGTAATCAAGAAGACGGTAGGATCCTGGTAGCTGTTAATGGAAATATATATGATGTTACCAGGGGCAAAAGATTCTATGGACCAGGTAAGGTTAACATTATATTTGCTGTAAAGAATTGTCTTTCACCATTCGGTTCACAACCCACACAAACTGTTTTATATCATTTTTCCTATTAATATGCAGTATGGTAATGCTGAAGCCAGTTACCTTGAACTAGTAAACCCTCAGCAGATTTTAGCACGTAGATAAGTCAGTTGAATAAAATAAACAATATTGCTTTGGCTCATATTTCAGAAATCACACAAGAATGTTAAAGATGGCTTATTGATAAAAGTGTGCTCAAGATCTCATATTTTTTATCATTAACAAAGCTAACATACACTTATGCACTATGAAATTTGAGATGAGAATATAGCAACAAACTCAGATATTGAATTTTACATAAATGTTTTGACATGTATTATCAGTTTTTGTCTGTCATAATTTTAAAATATATTATTAAAGCAACAAATCACTGATCCCTTTACTATCATTATAATTAATGATACATACTCTGCTATACACATACCATATTGTTTATATTGAAAATATCAAAAATAAACCATTATCTGCATATTCATATACCAAATATTATGGATATAATTCAAAATTGTTGAAAATGATATTTCCGGCATTGAAGGATTATTTCACAAATATAACTATATTAATAAAATATTTCCAACAAGGGTAATATCTCTTTCAGAAGTTTTGCTGGGATCAAGTTTCAGAATAATAAAATCTAATACTAATTATGCACAAAATACACTTATTTTCAAACAAAATCTGTGAACATCTTTTTTCTGACAATGGTATAAAAATTGTATTACATGAAAATATAAGAAGATTGATTCAAAATTCATGTTCTGTTGTAAAACATAGGTGACTTACTACACTGATTTGCATCTTGCTAATTCTGAAACAACACTATTGTAATTTATATGATTTTTGTAAATAAGCTAATCACTTTTAATTAGTTTTCTCAGTTATATGCCTTAAATTTGTTTTCCTAGATGGGCTTTAGGCTTTATAAAAGTTCTGGTTTTATGATTGTTCTCTGCTTATTTTACCATGAGTTATTTTAATATTGATGTCAATATAAGAAAGCTTTTGTACTTTATATAATGGTGACAACTACAAAGATTATAAAGGGGTTGATCCCAGATCAGAACTATTCCAGATAATTTTAAATAATCTGCCAACTACATCACACACTCTAGTTCACAGCCTACCTGTAGCACTTTATGACAGAGTCTCCTGAACTTCCACATCTCCCACAATAGTCACACTACATTTCACATAAACTATCATGGCTACTTGTAGTGTTGCTTTATATTTTATACTCACTTTCAACAAAATATCTCGCTTCTTTAAACCATCCGCAAAACAAATACTATATTTGATATTTTTACATTTAGATAAAGATAGAGAATCCCAGCAAGCATCACATAGCATGATGCTTGTAATGCAGTTTCCTTGATTTTGCCTGGAGAGGATGATGGCATTTCCAGTTCACCCATAAGATGTTTTACCTCCTGCTGATCACTGGTTGCATTGAAAGTGCAGATCTCCCCGCCCCACGCGCAATTCAAAACCGGTTTTACCGCAATGCCATCTAGTGTCACACCATAAAAAAAACCATGTGCATTACTTTTATTATGAACCCTGAATTGGTTCCTAGATTCAACATCGGCTTGTCTACTCTCTATAGTGGGCTTTTGTATGTTTCTGTGTGCTTTGACCTTCTGTCGATGAGTAGTATTCACACGAATTGCTGAACCAGCCATTAGTCGCTGGTTTAGGCACTTTCACTGGCAGGTAAATTAAACAGGAGATAGTGGTGAACAGCATCAGCGTTGCTGTTAGTCCCACAGATGTTCGTGAAAGAGATCTTATCATCGATGTTATGCCCTCGAGTCCGTCCTTTACTTTTACACTGAGAGTGGACTGAGATCATCTGGTATTTTTAAGACAACCTGAAAAAAGCTTGCTGGTGATACTGCCTGAGTCGACTGGTCTTTGTCTACCACCTTCTTTTCATCTCTAATGATATTAAATAGTCCTAAAATACCTTTACTAACCTTAAGAAGTGATTCTGTCATTCTGTGATTACCTTGTTGCAAAAATAAGATTAAACTAAATATTTAAATTTCCAATAAAGTAAAAAGTCTGAATAAAATATGTTTAAAGTTTACATGACACCTTTATCCACTCGTGTCTTCAATTGTTTATTTATACTGCTCTTAAAAGGGGTTCTTATCTGTTGGTCAATAAATCCTTTTATTTGTATAAGAAAGGAAAAGAAAAATAGACAACATTGGCTCCAACACACTAAGTTCTTGTTCCATTACCAGGAGTGGCTACTCTTCACTCTGTGAGGTAAGCAACTACATAATTGATTTGCAAATCGGGTGCCGTAAGTAGGCGGTGGGAACCGTGGAGGACAGCTTTCTGCATTCTTCAGGCTAAGATGCTCACTGATGTTTTGCATACTGGTATAGATTTGATTGCAGAGAGTAATGTATTCCTCAACCCAGGAACCCAATGATCATAACTTACAGGCTGAAAGCCTGTGAAGCTGATTGATGAGCTCCAGATACTGGGTCCGTTTTTCCTTCTTCCTCGAGACGATGTTCACTTCGACTGGAGCCGAAAATTGAACAATGCACATCGCCTTCTGTTCGTGGTCGAGGAGGCCTATGTCTGGCTATTTGCCTGCTCCATTTTGACCGTAGGGAACGAGTAATCCCAGTAAATCCGGCATCTCTCGTTCTCCACAACGGACGCAATATCCCGTGGAGCATCGGCAGCACATCTATATCAGGGCTGTCCAACATACGGCCCGCGAACTCTTCTTGCGGCCCGCTTCACGGGTCATGTATAAATTACTCTCAAATACCGAATGTGAACAATTCTTACATTAACTCTGTAATAATGTTGTATAGAAAGATTTTATAATGCGGCCCTCCAAACTACATTTTTTTTTGAAGTGGCCCTTGGGCCACATTTAGTTGGACAGCCCTGATCTATATCATAGGAGTACCTCAAATGATAATACAGCACTCACAAAGCTGTGTTGTACTGATAGATGTTTTCAGAGGCAGACTGTTCTTTACATACTGACAAGAGATGCCTAAATGCCTCTGCCGCCTGTCAACATGCTCTGCACTTGGCATCGTATACATCCGCACCCATACATAACCTTACTATGGTAAATCAAGGTATAGTTGTAGTCACCGTTCTTGGTGGGTGAAAGTAAGACTACCAGTATCCTTTATATATACCCATCTCTCTCATACATACACATGCAACCTACCCCTGTGTGAACGTTTGTTCGGTAAGCTAAAAGTCATACGTTTTTTAGTTGTGTCTCCGTCTCTAAAACTTTGTTGTTACGTATGAGGGCCCTTCATTCATATTTGTCAGAGTGACAACTTACTTGACATCTGCGTGCAATTTGAGTTGTCCTGTTATCAATCTTCAACATAAAAATGTACGATGCCCGATATGATCAATGGAGAAGGCCGTTAGCTCGAGTTAAATTTATTAGAGTATTTCCAGGAAGAGAATGAAAACCTTGTTACCCACTTCATGCGTACTGGATAGAGTATCAGATGAAGATTAAGATCCGCTCATGGAATGGAGACTCGATCTGTGTACTTATTTCATATGGCGTTGATGACGTAACCGCCAAGAACGGTGACTACAACTATAACAAGGACACCATCGTGGAAAGCCATAATGAAAACCTCAGTCTCAGAGTTTAGATTTTCACTATGAAACCTTAGTTGATGTCTTGGAAGGTATTTGCGTCGACTTAGGTTGCATGTTCATCCGGGTTTTAGTGTCGAGTTATCGCAGCTCGTCCTGAAGATGTATAATAACAAAAGATCCGCAAGCATATTTATCGCAGCGACTTTGCTCTTTCCAGGCAGCTCTGATGACCAGATCTGCCTGAGCCGATGAAAGTACTGACGCGGAGAAACTCTGACCTCATTGGTATCCTGAATGTTATTATTATTATAATAATAATTTATTATTAGTTTGACCTCCAATCATACTAGCGCCGCCCAGCAGGAGCAAGGTTGGACGTCGCTGTCATGCAGAAATTTTAGGTTTAAGGTTTACAGTCTACTACATGGTACATATGGGTGTTGTTATCTGTATTATTAGCAAAAAAAATTATAACAATACGTAGTACTTTTTCATTCTAACCCTATGCAAATAATATCACATTTATCATAAAGCATTTATGAAACATTTATTTGTTTTAATTATGTCTAAGATTAACATTTTGTCCTTCAGGAGGCCCTTATGCAGCGTTTGGTGGAAAAGATGCTTCAAGGGGGCTAGCAACATTTTCAGTGTCAGCCGCTGGGGAGGGCTATGATGATTTGAGTGATCTAAGCACAGTTGAAATGGATTCAGTCAGGGAGTGGGAGTCACAGTTCAAAGGTGAGTTTTATTTATTCATGTTGACAAATAGATGAAAACTTGCCACCGTATATCTATATTAATATTGTCTTGTTATTTGATTCGCATTAATTCAATAGTAGTTGTTGTCTCAGTGGTGTCACAGTATCATTTTTTCAGTCTTAGCCTTACAAATGTCAAGTTACTGCCACAACATTGCCAGCTTATGTGGACTCTGGAGATCTAATCTTTGTCTTTGCGATTTTTTTCCAACGATAACACCTATTTATACATTTAAATTTGAGTTTGATTATGCTTTGTTCTATTGTTCTTTGTTCATACTAAATCATATGTTACTGATTCGCTCCATAGCATATATCTTTGTCCTTTTTACTAAATAGGCAGCATCTGCCTGGTTTTCCTCTTTGTGATTTTAGATGATGGTAATTTTTTTATAACCATCATTGTAATTACTAGGTTGGTGGCCAAGTTTTTGGAGGGTACTCAGAATCTTGAAGATACCTCATATTTAAAGTTGCTAGTGATGGCCGGGTAACTGAGGTTTAAATTAAAAATAAAATCCTACTTTGAACTATTTTACCAATTTTTTTATTTTGAATCTAAGTAAAAGCAATTGGTAAACAATAATCCAAATAAAATCACAATAAAAGAAATTTTCATTTCCTGGAGGAATTGAATGTACAAAGTCACTCTAATGCATATAGAACTTGCAAACGGTTCCCTTTTACTTCCTATGTCCCTGGGCGAGGAAGTATTGTAGTAGAGAAATTTTTCGAAAATGACAATATTGTATTTTTTTGATGTTATATGACAAATACACCACAAAAAACACGTCAGTCATTTCCGTCGATCTGACAGTCTGTCTGTGTCCGCTAATCCTTGGCCCGTCTATAACTTGGAAAGTATCGGTCAGATTTGGATGAAATTTTCACACAAGGTTACTAGTATGCCAAGGACGAAAAGTCGTCCAGTAGCTACAGAGAAAAGGCAAAAAATGAGAAAATAATAATCGCTCAAACTACTTTTTTAAACGTTTCAGAGAATCGTTACTATTTTTGACATTTTTTTGTAAAAAATTAGGGGTTGCGTAGGAAGTGCAGAGTCAACCTACGTGACGCCAGTTTTTCTGCTTTGTTGCTTCTTGATGATAGAATTGGAAATTTCATACTAATTCAAATGGTACTTCCCTGATTTATTGTTTCTTGGTTATACTCTTGCCGCGTGTGAAGTGTTATCAAGATCCATAAAGACTGTATGTGAGCACAGAATAGTAGGATACCAGGCATAGATATGAAGCTAATAGAAATGTGTGGGTACAATTATTATTATAAAATTCAAGAAAACATGTTGTAATCTATGGTATGGTGGAAAGTGGAAAGCAAAAATGAAAATCATCTATCCATATTTCTTCGAAAGTTTACGATTATTTTTATAGTATTTTTAGGGAAACTATCAACATTTGGAATAATCTAATTAAAGAGTTGAAAAAACGTCTTCACGCATATCTCTCTCTTATTTTTACAGTTTGATTAAAGATTTTGAAATCTAGGGAATCAATAGACAAAAAAGTCATTTCAATAGAATTGTACAAAGTTTCAGTTGTAGATATTTGTATTTTCAAATAAAAAATAACGTGAAAAATCCAGTGGGACGGGGGAGGCTCAGGATACTCTAGCAGCGAGGCATGAGGTATCGTAAGTGTCTGTACCGAGGCACGCTGGGATAAAAGGCAATGATATGGCGGACGCTCTTGCGAAAGCAGGATCAGCGAGCAAGCTCGTTGGCCCTGAGCCCGCGCAAAGAGTTAGAAGAGCAATGGAGAACTGGGTTGCAAGACAACACTCTCAGAAATGGAGAAGCATCTCTGTTAGGCAAGGGAGCTTATCGTAAGGTTCAGTGCTAAGGATGGACGCTGTTGCTTATTCTTAGCTAGAGCCAACCTAAGGTTGCTGGTGGGAATGTTGTCTGGCCATGACATGTTGAGGTGCCACCTGCATATGATTGGGGTGGCTGAGGATCCCTTGTGTGAGTGCTGCGCTACTACAGGCAGACTATGCAGGGGACTTTGAATCCCCAGAACGTTAAGGAGCTGGTACTCAAGATTATACTTAAGTTTGCTAGAAGGGCGGGGCTTAGGGGTGCATAAGGGCCCGTTTAAGTGGCCTATGCGCCGCCTCGTCATGGTGACAGGTATGCCTCTAATTTCATAATTCATTAATTCAATCCAGTGGGCAAGATAAGATTCAGCAAATATACTGATATAGCATATACACAATATCTTTGAGTTTAATATAGTCCTGGGCCTGAACTATCGTTTACTCGACTGAAGATACTTTTTATCATATTATTTACACCTATATTAACATTGCACACCTATGTGTACTCTACAATGCTACTATAAAAAGCTGTTGAGCAGTCTATTTTAAAACATATACATCCGACAGTTCAACGCTTGTAGCATAAGTTGGATGCGAATCATTTGAATAGCAGACCTCATTTGATATTTGCATTTTAAATACACAGTTTCGAATGTTAAATGTATACTGTAACTTAACCTTTGGTCTACGCATCAATAAATGAACTTGAAGTTTATTTACAATGTGTTTTGAAATTATATCTAGCCTACTATGGGTATTTCCACGGATTTTACTACTCATCTGTCACGATTTTGCGGTTGAAATGAAATAAAACACGCTGTGCGAGCTATTAACGAATTTTTTTATATTTGAAATGCCTCTGTGCGTCATATTTATGAGAAATTGTATCAGTCCATTGTGTGCCCTAGCAAAAAGACTAACTTGCAATGGTTCTACCGCATAGATCTGGCTCATCTTGATTTTTAGGGCATTTATACCAAAAAGAAAAGAAAGTTATTTTTGTGTTATTTTGGGACATTATAAAACAATTTTGGAGATACTTGTTATGTTTTTGATCAATAAATGATTTTAGGGCTTAATAAAGATTTTTGACGTATGTCTTTATATCCCGTTTCAATAACTTTTTTACTTTGTTTTCCGCTCATGTAAGGTTTATATAATTTTTTGAATGTTTTCAATTTGTATGTACTCTATATGTTGTACTTCATTTCACTTTTTAGACTTACGAAATCGAAAAAAATATAGTATTTTCCGCTTTGTTTATTATAGTGGTAACCACAGAACGTTTTCAGTGTTTTTTGTCTCTGGGATGTAATCATCATTAACATTTTGAAGAATAAATACATTTAAACCCTGATTTAAACCTAACATTTAGACCTCGACATAACCGTTGTTAAAGAACATTCATTCCATTCTTTAAGAAGCTAGCAATATTTCACTTAAATTCATAATTTATACATGAAGGTAAATGAGTGTTGTAACATCTGTGCTAGTTATTTACAACACACTGGATGTCATATCAATAGCTTCACTGCATTGGATAATGTTTGAACTTTGCACTTTTATTGTTTGTTGCTTACGAGAAATGTTAACGGGCGTGGAGTACAATAATAATTTGCGGGATCACGGGCCATTCTACACTCAAATTTTATATAAAGTAAGATATATCTTTTTCTTGAGATTAAGAATATTATTCTTTTTATCAACCTCAAAGTCTGAGTTTAATTGTTATTTTTAGATATTTAGCAATGTGCATGCAACTTTTGTAATAATGGGTGTATCCAATGAATAGGAATATCATTAGATCATTTTAATGTGATAATTTGCTATTGACGTCAAATAATTGACAGTATGGTATTTTGATCAGCACTGCAGTTTTTTTATTTATGAACATTATAGACATAGATAATCGATATATTTCAAGATCTTAGGTCTGCTAGACTTGACTTATTTTCTAAAAGACAAAAGTGGGGCATTGAGTTACGTTTGTTGTACTTTGAACGTCTCCTGTGTACCTGCTAAGTAAACGGCAGATTCCCAGGTACCAGGTCAGAAAGGTATGTAAAATTAGGACTAACTTGAATTCCGGCGGCTAATTGTTTATCCGGGTTACTGGTAATCTGCCGTATTCCTGCCAAGTCGTAATAATGAGTCTACAATTTTTGTAATTTTTCAACAATCACCCGAAATCGGACATTCCAGTCTAAAAAAAAAATCATGTGAGATGGGTGTGATTGATTTTATTAGCTTATACTCAGATTAAGTGTTTGAAGTGCGAAAATACTATACAAAATGAAATAACAGCCGTGCTAGAAGGCAGTTTAGTCTTCGTTTTCCGTTTTCCTTGGAAAAAAGTTGTGTCTAGCTCAAAAATTGCAAGTACATTAAACGTACAAATTACTAGAAAAACTTTTCCGTATCGTCAGCTTTTAAACATCAGTATTAGCGCGCTTAATTATTTACAAATAGTAGGTGAAGCCACTGTAGGTCAAATATTAATCCCTTAATAAATATAATAAAAATCTTTATTTGTAATAAATACATTATGAAATGGCGAAGTTTATTCTTGTTGTAACACTTGGCCCAAATATCAGAAAAAGTACAACTGTGAACAAAATGTTGTGAAGCAGTTTGATGTTGGAATATAAATCTTCAAGTACATACACAAACAAATTATATAGGAGGTGACCTTTTAAAATGATATTTAAACCTAATTTGGGAATGATCAATGATTGGCTTACAGCAACAATTATTGCCTATGGTTCTGCATAGTCGCTGTTGAAGTCAGCGAGAATCTTGCCATAGCTTTCCCAATCGCTGAATTTTCTACGTGTCTCGTGCTACTCAAAAGCTACATATCGAAAACATACAACACGGGCAGTTGTCAGGTTTCAGAAACTTCGATATACTGGACCAATTTCTCTAGTTCATCGTGACTACAGCAAAATAGCTAAGGACCACTGTCACCACAAAAGCAGGAGCTAGGAACTAAATGCCTACCTCAACTCAACTGAAAGGCTTGAAGTACGCAAATCTTTTGAGAAATTAAGACGTCCATTTGAAACAGTTATTAAAATGAACATTCCATTAAGGGATTATTATTTGACCTGGTTTGGTTGGACCGACTATTTGTTAGGAATTTAA